AAACACAACCCTTTTAAACTATATGGCGTCTTCCTGAGGTACTTATGACAAATGAAAATCATGTCCTTTTCATTTTTCCTCGCCACTGCCATCCCATTTATAGGGAGCATGAGTTGTAGGGCCATATCCTCGAGATTGATCATGCATTATCAGCACGGTAGATGAAATGTATGAGTTATAGTTCTCCACCGTTCAATCAATGTACTGATCAAACCAGGGACCAACTAGAAGCCTCGAACAAACGTGACATCGTCAAATCAGCCACTTTCAAATTATGGATAATAAAATCATGTGGCTTATCACAAACATTGATTTGTAATCGAATGTGTTCCTACTCATTTTCCTGTAGTTTTTAATCCATTGTATTAATCATAAAAAATAATTATCATTTTTAATAAGTCATTCTAAAAAATATTATTGAATACTAATACAATGCTACCAAATGAGAAGAATCATTTTTGTATTGTCATACTTCAACAAATCTATGAAAAAAATTAACCTAAATTAATATGAATAAAAAAATAAATTAAGACATAACAATAAAAGAAATTCAAAAAAAAATTGTATACTTACAACCTTATATTTTGAAATATTATATCGATCACCACCCAATGATAATGGCCAACTAAATAAACGTGCTTGATATTCCACTTGTTTGCTTTCACTGGTTTCTTCAACACCAACTTTCTTTCTTCTTTTTCAACTACACAAACTTTTTGTATGCCTTCATTGGATAAGTAAACAAACTATACCCACTCCAATATATAACATTATAACCCATCAAATCCCAACCAAACAAATAATTTCTTTGCACCCAACGAAACTAATAATTTCTCTACACCGTACTGTAGCAAACTTTGCATGCATGACCCATTCACGTGCTGGGAGTAGGTTTCACGGGTATGCTGCATCAAGACAACTTTGTTGCACAGACGACAGTGTCACATCTTTGTAGGAACATGAGAAATGCGTTGAAGACGCATAGAAATCCCTAGGTCTTCTCCTTCAAGACGCACAAATCACTCGTCGTCTTCACCCTGCTCGGATTCGGCTTGAAGACGCATGGAAACTTCAGCGTCTTCAACAGGTCGCACGGATCACTCGACGTCTTCACATTGTACTGTAGCAAACGACCTATCATGGGAAATAATTTCTCGGGTACATTATTTGGGGAATTAAAAAACTGGGAAACATTATCCCAACACTTTTGCCGATAAAATTGAGAAATAATAATCCCTAGAAAGTGTGTTTCTAGAAAATGTCTTTCAAATCCTAAGGGTGCGTTTGGTTTACGGAATGAAAGATTACCAGTGAGAATGTAAGATTACCAGAGAATATGATTACTGGGAATGTTGTATTTTGTGTTTGGTTGGCTTAGTAGGAATGTAAGATTATCGTGTTTGGTTAAAGGAATAAAAAATTATTGGAATATATATTTGACCAAATTGTCCTTATTATATATTCATTTTTTTAACAAGTTGGAAAATATTTATATATTTTCTTTAAAAAATTTAAATTCATAAAATTTATATAATTTTTTTTACAAAATTGAAAATATAAAAAGGTTTAATGAAAGGGATTTTATTTTAACCCCTGAACTTCATATAAAATTTTAATTATAGATTTTTTTTTGTAAATCTAAAATAGTTTAAGGATAAATTTGTAATTTAACATTCGTAGAATTTTTATTATTAAATGATAGAAAAATGATATTCAAAAAAAATTAAGGGCATTTTAGTCCAAAACGCTGGGAATCCAACAATACCTAAGGAAATGGATGTAATGACATTCCCGGTAATATACCCCAAAAAATCCACTATTGGTAATCTTACATTACCGGCAATGAGATTCCCGGGCTAGCCAAACGGGGGAATGTGGATTCCATTCCCATGGGAATCCCACGTTCCCCCATCCAAACACCCCCTAAAAGCATTTGATTCTAAAATTGAATTATTAGTTTATGATTTATTTTTTGTTATTAATTTTATATTTAAATAAAAATATATATCTAAACTAATAACGATTTTGTAATTAAAATATAAAAAGATATTAAATGTATAAATAAATAAGAATTAGATAACTATTTTAATGAATTTTTATAATTGAAATATTATATAATTATAATAGTAATGTTGCACTGGCGTTTGGTTGGATGGAATCCCTTGGAATTGGTGGGAATTGGAATCCAATTCCACCACTTTCCCATGTTTGGTTCAAGTTTTTCAAGGGAATTGGAATCCCTGTTGGAATTCAATTCCATCAAATGAGGGAAAGTGAATTTCATCCAAAAATAGATGGAATTCAATTCCCTTGTTGGAGGGAATTGAAATTTGACTATATTACCCTCATCAATCCTTTAGTAACTTATTCATATATTGAATAAAAATATTTTTTTTATTATTTCGGGTCGGGTCGGGTTTCTAATTCATATATTCGGGTCGGGTCGGGTGAAACTTTATTTTGGTCGGATCAGATCGGGTTTTTTTAAGTGTGATATTAGGGTCGGGTTCGGGTTTAGGGTGAAAAAAACCGGACCGACCCGAAAATATATATAATTCAGGTCGGGTCGGATTAAGTCATTGTTTTTATTAAATAAAAATAATTTTTTATTATTTTGGGTCGGGTCGGGTTGGATTTCTAATTCATATATTCGGGTCGGGTCGGATGAAACTTTATTTTGTTCGGGTCGGGTTTTTTAAGTGTGATATTCAGGTCGAGTCGGTCGGGTTTTTTTAAGTGTGATATTCAGGTCGGGTCGGGTTCGGGTTTAGGGTGAAAAAAATCGGACCGACCCGAAAATATATATAATTCGGGTTGGGTCGGATTAAGTCACTGTTTTTATTAAATAAAAATAATTTTTTATTATTTCTGGTCGGGTCGGGTCAGATTTCTAATTCATATATTCGGGTCAGGTTGGTTGAAACTTTATTTTGTTCGGGTCGGGTCGGGTTTTTTAAGTGTGATATTCGGGTCGAGTCGGGTCGGGTTTTTTTAAGTGTGATATTCGGGTCGGTTCGGGTTTAGTGTGAAAAAAACTGGACCGACTCAAAAATATATATAATTCGGGTCGGGTCGGATTAAGTCACTATTTTTATTAAATAAAAATATTTTATTATTATTTCGGGTTGGGTCAGGTCAGATTTCTAATTTATATATTCGGGTCGGATGAAACTTTATTTTGTTCGGGTCGGGTCAAGTTTTTTAAGTGTGATATTCGGGTCGGGTCGGGTTCGGGTTTATGGTGAAAAAAACCGGACCGACCCGAAAAAAAATATATAATTTTATCTTATATATTTATGAATAATTACAATAATACCCCTCTATATATAATTTTTTTCAATTAATTCAATGTTTTTATTGAATAAAAATAATTTTTTATTATTTTGAGACGTGTCGGGTCGAGTTTCTAATTCATATATTGAATAAAAATAGTTTTTGGTATATTTTTTGGTAACTAATTAACATACTCCGATTGGAATGTAGCGAAATATTACTCTATCTTTTGGTAACTTATTAACATATTTTGATTGCGATGATTTTAACTTATAATGTTTATTAGCATGATTTTTATAATTTATTGAAATGAATAATCAATCAATAAAATGAAAATTTAATATTTTTTAATATATTACTACATGTAAGTTGTAAAATAAACTAAAATAAAGTAAAAAAACAAGAAGGGCAATTCTGTCATTTTATATTACTGAAATCAAATTCATCTGACATGTCTGCGAATCAAACAGAATATGAAATTGGATTCCAATTCGATTTCCTGCCAACCAAACAGAATATGGAATTGGATTCCAATTCCTACATATTCCAATTCCTTCACAGATTCCAATTCCCTCATAAACATTCCAGCGAACCAAACGCCACCTTAGGTAAGTGCTATTGTTCTTTATTGTTTTGTTAATTTGTGGGACAAATTATTGTTCCATGCAATTGAAACATACAATTATTAATTTATTATCAACGGGTTGATCAAGTGACAAACAACTTGATATCATTTAAGTAAGTCTTGAATTCAAGTTGTTGCGTATGCAGAAAACTCATGCTGGGAGACTCACTCACCAAAGCCAGGTGTACACCCAGATCGATCAGAATTAGTTAAGGCAAAACCTTGAAAACCAAGAGGGCAATAATTTTTTTTTATTATAGTGTAAGTGTGTAACTCTATTTGTTTTGAAGTGTTTTGGAAGGTAAGATTTTTGTAAATAGTAGAAATAGAGCTGGACTCTTAAAGGAAAAAACAATAGCAAAGGGAAATTAAATGTTTTAGGGGTGCACCAGCAGTTAATGGATATGAATATGTTTTAAACTTAATTTATAAATTTTTTAGTACAAAAAATGTGTCTTGCATATCAAAGGCACATATTTATACCTTGTGCCTAGATTTCAGAGACCTTTTTGCATCTCGATACGCATTGCACCTTGAAAAACCAAACAAAAAATTATCATCATAATATGTAAGAATTTTTGTCAAAAGATAACATTATATAGATGACAAAGTATAAAATATAAACATACAATTATGATTCATGATTAAGAAACAATAAAAGATATAGTTCTTACGTAATAAGAGATCTCAATACGAAAAATACATGGATGCCATCTAAAAATTTGTTGCAAGTCATACGATGTTTCTATCTTTAAAATCATTTTCAATGTCTTGTACAAAATAAATTGTTTTACCCCTTTTATGCTCGTTTCAAAATCATATTAAAATACTATAAATAATTACAAATTTATAATTAAATTTGGATCATAATATTCATTAAATTAACTAATTCAAAAAATTTTATTCAATTCAACTCGATTGATATGGATCAAACTATACTCTATCACTACCTATATGGCGCATAAAATCTGGAATTCGAGTTGGGACCCAGTCACCTCACCATCAAACTTACCCATAGATTCTAAAGATCCAATGGTCACAATAACTCCTGGATGACTTGAACTCTATCCACCTAAATACACCTGCTTACATGTGATCCATTTGAGTCAAACATCCGATGGCTATTTCCACCCTCACTCGGTTCTCTACTTCCGCCACTTCCCCACTCTCCTCTGCTCTCATTTTTCGCCATTTCAGTGAAAGGGTCATCTTCACCGTTGCTACTAAGAAGAAGAGTCAACACCAGGTTTTCAAAACAATGGCTTTTTCACAAGACAACAAAACTACAGCACCGTACGGCTCCTGGAAATCCCCCATCACCGCCGATGTCGTTTCGGGCTCCTCTAAACGGCTTGGAGGCACCGCTGTTGACCCTCAAGGTCATCTCTTTTGGCTCGAGTCACGCCCATCTGAGTCAGGGTAATTTGAAAGTCTTGAACCGCTTAAACCCCCACTATCCATTTTGATGTTTCTGTATATTCAAAGCTTCAAGTTATGATTTTTAAAACAGGAGGGTGGTCCTTGTAAAAGAAGCATGTAAAGCTGGAGATGAACCGATTGATATTACTCCACCGGAGTTTGCTGTTCGGACGCTGGCTCAAGAGTATGGAGGAGGAGCGTTTAGGATTTCTGGGGATACTGTGTTTTTCTCCAATTATAAAGATCAGAGATTGTACAAGCAAGCAACCAGTTCCAAAGGTTCAGATTGCCGCTTTGTTTTTTACTCTATAAAGTTAATGTTTTTATTTTTTGTTGGCTTTGGTTGATTGATTCCAATGAATGGGGAAGCAGATTCTTGTCCAGTACCAATCACTCCCAATTATGGAGGACCAGATATCAGTTATGCTGATGGGATTTTTGATTCAAGGTTTAATCGTTATATCACTGTAATGGAAGGTTAGACCTTTTTTTATATGCTGTTTATCTCTAGTGTTAATGGGGTTGTCGAATTGTCCCTTTTTGTTGATTCAATCTTATCACCTTGATAGATCGCCGTGTAAGTAGCATAAATTCAACCACAACAATCACAGCAGTACCACTTGGTGACGTGAATATCCCAGGTATAAATATATCTGGAAATAAATTTATCTTGTTTGTAAATTATCGTGTTATTGATTAAGATATGATTTTTCAGGTTTGATTTTTGTTTTTCTTTCCTTACATGTTAAAGTTACTGTAATCAATTATTGTTTGTTGGTTCATATGTTTACAAGCAGTGAATTTTGTGTCCTTTTGTTAACTTCTAGAACCAAAAGTATTAGTGAGTGGCAATGATTTCTATGCGTTCCCTCGACTGGATCCCAAAGGTGAAAGAATGGCTTGGATTGAATGGAGTCACCCCAACATGCCTTGGGATCAATCAGAGCTCTGGGTTGGCTATATTTCTGAGAATGGGTGAGTTGAATTCTTTCATTGGCCACATAGGCATAGCTTTTCTTCGGCATTCTTTTCATTTCCTATAACTCGTTTTCTGTCATTTCTTTTAGTTCCTTCTTTAAATTGGAAGTTTACATGTTTTGAATTGTTGATTCTCTTCTTTTTTGGTACTATAAATATATTGATGTCTATGGATTGGTATTTCATGCAGAGATGTGTACAAACGTGTTTGCGTAGCTGGCTACGATCCTAAAATTGTGGAGTCTCCTACAGAACCAAAATGGTCCCCTACTGGTATTCGATAATAATTTCCTTATTTCGTGGAAGTTCTGAATATGAAATTTAGGATTTCATGATATCATACTTAGGCGGACAATCAAGTTTTAGAGTTCGCATTAATGAAATAATATGTTCTTTAACAAATAAGTCTTTTTTGTTTTTCCCCAACCTTTTCTTTCCTAGTAAGAGCAATGAAATCCTGAAATTTGACATTGATCTTGCAATATCAACATCTAAATACTGACTGGGACATTTGTGCCCGTTTGGGCCAATTAATTCAATGTTTTTCTCGTCCTTTTGATATTTTCTGATCTTATGGGAAATTGATTATTCTTGTATCGGTTGTTTGACAATTTTATCAGTGAAATATTAAAATACTTTCAAATATGTGCAGGAGAACTTTATTTCATTACAGATAGAAAAAATGGATTTTGGAATCTTCATAAATGGGTAAGTTCCTTTTTGTCTATTTAAAACTTCATTTTATAGCCAGCTGTGGCAAACAGCCCATTAACCATGGTTACATGATTCATCTTCTTTAAAAAAATAAATATCTGCAAAGAATTTTGTTGGTTGTTTGTATTAGTTTCTAACTTGCATTGTAGGGCCAATCTCATTAATTACTTTATTATTTGTTTTCGTTCTCTCTTTTCCCCCTCCAAACTAATCACCTCTTATCATATCTTGAAACAGGTTGAATCTAAGAATGAGGTGCTTCCACTTTATCCCTTGAATGCTGAGTTTGCAAGACCACTATGGGTTTTTGGAATGAATTCTTACGAGTTCATCAAGAGTGAGGCTGGAAAAACCTTAATTGCTTGCACCTACAGGTAACTATAAGAAAATTACTGGCCAACACACTTCATTATATGGATAAGGTCTTTGAAAAAAAATAAAAACAGTTTCCGGTTTTGTTGAGTGAATTTGTTGATGTCTGAATGCAGGCATAATGGGAAGTCATATCTTGGAATTTTGGATGATGTTCAGGGTTCATTTTCTCAGCTCGATATTCCTTTCACGGATATAGACAATATTGTACTGTCAAAATACCCAAAAAATTATTTTTGCCTAGGAAATCATAATGGCATCTTTTTAAAGATGTATACGGTTTGTTTTGCAGACTTCATGGAATAATTATCTGTATGTCGAGGGAGCCTCTGCAGTTCAACCTTCATCAGTGGCTAAGGTAAGACTGCCCTCTTCCCTACATTTTAATAATATTTTATAGGTCCTTTGATTACAATCATAACAGTCTTTTGTTGTCTTTGAAGGTGACTCTAGATGGTCATAAACTAAATGTAGTTGATTTCAAGATTGTTTGGTCATCTTCATCAGATTGTTTAAAGTACGAGTCCTACTTCAGCCAGCCAGAGTTAATTGAATTTCCAACCGAGGTTACTGGCCAAAATGCCTATGCATACTATTATCCACCAACAAATCCCCTTTATCAAGCTAGCCAGGAAGAAAAGCCACCATTGCTGTTGAAAAGTCATGGTATGGTACTCTCTTATCTTGAAAACTTGTTAAAGGCCCCTTCACTTAATGAGTGTTGTCTCCAGCGGATTAGCAAATTCTTTTCTGTATTTGATTGCATTATGATATGTATCTTATGTAACATGTGGCAGGAGGGCCTACTGCTGAAACTCGTGGAACTTTGAATCTCAGTATTCAGTACTGGACTAGTCGAGGTTGGGCATTTGTGGATGTTAATTATGGTGGAAGCACTGGTATGTTCTCCTTGCCTTAGCAAAATATGCAGAAACATCCTTGACTGCATCATTAACATCTTTGAACAAATTATGTCTGTTTATATAAGATTTAATGTGGTGCCATGCTTGAATTACATGACACAATTTTGTAGGTTACGGAAGAGAATTTCGTGAACGACTTTTGGGGCGCTGGGGAATTGTTGATGTTGATGACTGTTGCAGTTGTGCTAGATTTTTGGTACTTCGTTTAATTGTTTCCAAGTTTCTAAGGGATGGATATATGCTTATATATAAACACTGCTCAGTCATGATAACATATTTTTTCTCTAGTTGGAGAACGGGAAAGCAGATAAGGAACGACTCTGTATAACAGGAGGCTCTGCTGGTGGGTACACGACTTTAGCGGCCCTTGCTTTTAGAGATACATTCAGGGCTGGAGCATCCCTCTATGGGGTAATTGATATCATCATTATTTTCAATTTAACTGTGGCATATTTCGTTACCTTTTGCTTGATTTGCTTTATATGTTATATAATTTTCAGGTAGCTGACCTGAGTTTGTTGAGGGCTGAAACACATAAATTTGAATCCCGTTATCTTGATAAACTCATTGGTAAGTAGAAAAGGATAACCAATGCCTGAGTTTGATTTTAAATTTTATTCATCGAGTTGCTTATCATATCCCTTACCATTTCAGGAGATGAGAAGGCTTACTTTGATCGATCACCAATAAATTTTGTCGATAAGTTTTCTTGCCCCATCATTCTCTTTCAGGGACTGGAAGATAAGGTACATAAAATTTTCTTCTTCAACTTCTTTTCTTGGTACACGATAATGAAGATCAAAGGGTTATTGGTTAAGACTTGAGTGACATTTCTGAAGATTTGCAGATTGTGGCATATTCAAGGTTTTTTTTGTTAGTATTATAAAGTATAATATTTTTTTATTACTTAGAATTTGAGTTCAAATTAAGTGGTACACTAAGTGATAGCTGAGATGAGAATCTTGCTTGTAATATGTGACCTTGGTTGCGGTAAAATTTGTATTCAACAATTGATATAGCACAATTCAAGCGGACTTCAGTATCTTGAATAACCTTTACATGTCACAGGTTGTACCCCCGGATCAAGCTCGTAAAATCTATAAGGCATTGAAAGAAAAGGGTTTGCCTGTTGCTCTTGTGGAGTATGAGGGAGAACAGCATGGTTTCCGCAAGGTATATTTATCCCACCCTGAATGTCTTCGAATTTTGGTCATACCAAAATATGCTCAATCCCACTGATACTGTGCTTGAACAGGCTGAGAACATCAAATTCACACTAGAACAACAGATGGTGTTTTTTGCGCGGTTGATTGGACGCTTTGATGTTGCTGATCCCATTACGCCAATCAAAATAGATAACTTTGACTGAGCACTAAGAGAAGATTTTGGTGGTTCATGGAGTTCAGTTGGGCATGAATTTCTGATAATATTAATAGTCTTTATTTTTCAGGAAGCTTGATTGCCAAAGCCTGCACTTAGAGCATGTAAAAAAACCTTTTCATCTATGTAAGACTGAACAGTAACCTGATAATCTTCACCGTTCTATGAATTATATTTTCTAATCAGATGATTTACATAAAGTCATACTCTATTTGGGCCTATATTAGGTATTTTACGTATGTATTCGTTTCCAGATCGACCTATATTAGGGCCACTGCCCTGGTCCTCATGGCAATGGCTTTAAGTCCGTTTTCATTATCATCACAGCAGAGCAGAGGGTAGCATGGCAAATGAATGAAGAATTAAATGTAGTAGAAGCACCATGAGTACTAAAGGCCTCACTGCTCTAACTATTGCCACCTTACAAATGCTATAATTAACTGATGCATATAGGCTTCATATTAGCTGATGCATGTGTAGTCCACATATGGGAGGGGCAGAAATTAGGACCACTTTGTTTTGAGCCCAAGACGAAATTTCGATCCCATCATCCCTTCTTTTCAGGGTTTCTTAACAGAAGGACGCTTATAATTAAAGTCCCCGGCTAGTTTTGTCATATTCCCACTAAAATATCTATGCAAGCAACAAGTATGACCCTTGCAAACACGGATTGTTTAACTGTCATTAGTTCTCTAGAAAAAAAGGGGGTTTGAAGGTTTCATTCGCATACTTTGAATCTTTAATGTGTTTATTGTGGATGAGGTCGAACCAAATTAGATTGTAGGAATTATAACTTAAGTTGGTATCTTCTCCTTCGCCAAAAATAGTTGTTTGCCAAAACTTGTTGTCCAAACATGTCACAATAGTTCAGCAGGGACTAGCATAGAAAAGGGTCTTTAGCATGTCTTGGATTAGGGACTAACATAAAATTTCATGTTAGGGGTTCAACTTGTAAAATTTTAGGAGGGGTTCAACTAGTAAAATTTTAGGGGACGAAAAAGATTATCAATAGAAAATACAAAGAAAATATCTAAAGTATATGAGAATTTGAAGTTTTCGAGAACGACTTTCCCCACCCCATCTGTCTACCCCTGCTCGGATTGATCTAAACATGGAAGAAATAAAAATGGCCCTGCTTCTTATGGACCAGCTTGTGTATATCTGCATCTGGTATCAGTCGCTTTCCTTGAATGCCAGGCTTCATAATGGTTGTTGGAACTCCGGTTTAGTTTCTCCTTTAAAAGGGGACTAATCTAAACTTACACGGTATTTCTCTTGAATGAAACTTCACATTCTCAATTATCATTGTCAAGTAGTCCATGGTTCCCCTCTGTTCAATGAATATAACTTAAAGTAAGCATCCTATGATATTAGTTTGAGGCATCGATCCAAAACCGGAAAAAGACTGGCTTTTGTTATTGTTCTTCTCCAAACTTTTATTAATTACATGTGGAAATACACAACCACTTACAATTATTCTATGATTGGTATTTGATCTAAGACTCCAAACATCCTTGGAACTATGTAAGCAAAATTCTAAGTGAATGCCAAAGTGATTTATTTATGTACATAAAAGGTACCTAAAGCTGAACTCATACGGTATAATTTGAACAAACTGTAAGAGAGACTCACTTTGGGCTCTTTCAAGATACTTAAGTGCTTCTTTTCCTAGCTCACTAGGTAATTGAAGGCAAATCCAATCGAGCAAGGAATCCAAGTCCTTGGCAAAGTCAAGCACGTACCAATCCAACAGCTTTGGGATTGCAAACTTTGTTGATGAGATCCCAACTGCAGCCTGCAAGTACTCTCTCTTTGCCACTTCCAATTCGTTCTCGACTCGAGAAGCGGTATATACTCGAACCTTTGGTCAACAAGAAAGAAGAAGAAAATAACGGAAATGGCATTAAAACTGTGAAAATGATACATGGAGGCAATGGCACATGGGTGACAATGACTAATCAATGATACATAGACCACTCTGAGTAGATGATGACTAACTCTGATACAAAGTTAAAAACTTACAGCAGGAGAGGACCAGCTTCCACATGCAAGGGCAAATGTCACCAATGGTTCAGATAATTCCAACCCAAACATGCTCCTGGCACTCATTTCATCATTCTTGGCACCCTTTGAAAAAGTCTGACCAAGATTCAAGATGTATGACAGACTTCATTATCAAACTTGAAAAAGAAAAGAACAGAAAAGTCTGCAAAACAAAGTAAAATGAGGTACCACTTACAAACTTTGAGTGATAGGGCAATCTGAGAATGAAATGTTCTATAGTTATTGCATTCAACTGGTGTCCCCCAACATTTATGGTTGCCTGTTGTTAAATGGAACAGACAATTGAATTGCCGTTAGGCCAATGTGGTGGACTAATGTGCAACAATGTTATAACATCATCATGTTTCTGGGACATCCTTACCTTTCTCATCATTTGCACAACCATCTCTGGACTCTCTGGTACCCCTTGTTCTAAGAATGTCTGAATCGATATCAAGTGTTAAAACTGATTCAATCTACTTGAAGTAAACCAAGTATAATAGAAGAAACTAAATGCATTGGAATATGAAGTACCATCATAAAGACAATGTGGGGTATGGAAGCCATGGTTTAAACTAGTCTGGATCTTTATATACAATTTAAGCCATAGGTTCGAATATGTAATACAAGCCTAATTCTTTTTGGTTTTTATGTTGACGAATCGATCCTCCACTTACATTCATCATGCAGGAATTGTAGATATTGATCCAAAATGCAAGTTGCTCTTGATGGTTAAGGTTCTGCAAGTTCAAGGAGGCAAGTCTTGCAAGGAGGAGTCTGAGAAACGCAGCACCAAAAAAAAAAACCATTACGATTCTTTGGATTTTTGATAAGCTATAGAAAATACATCAAATGAGCAAGGAAAAGATGATTTACTTCAATCTGTGCAACAAGAATAAAGAACTCGAAGTTCGGTTTAGATTGATCGAGTCATCACCAATTGAAACTAAATGCTTGTATGGGCCAATATCTCTCCTTCCAGAATTTGAACAAATACCATAAGGATCCCGAAATCCGGTTTCTTCACTGCTTTCTTCTGGCCCAATCAATGATAATGAAGGGAAAGTTTCTGCTGTAGAATTTCTCTTTACTGAGCTCATTCTTAAGAAAATGCCTGACAAACATTTTACAAGTTCCTCCGAGACCTTGTTTGGTCCATCGACTCTCAACATTCTATCGACGGGGATGCTTATATTTCTTGCTTCTGCATTGCCTTGGTCTCTCACTCTGCATTCTATCTAAAAATGTAAAACATGTCATACACACTTAGCTGCAAAAAAGTCTTTCTACAACTCATGAAATGAAACTGGTTCATGCCTGCGATCTTGGAGGATCTAAGCGTTTCTCTGCTGGCTTCGCATCGATCAAAGGTCTCGTCAAAGGAGTTCCAACAGATTGGCTTCTATGTACTAAGGGTCCTTTACAGCTCTTTGAGGAATTAGTACAAGACTGATTCTCTCTTTCCATTTTATCATCTGAAACAACAATGAATAATAAAGTTTAATGGAATTGACATGGCTCATGAGACATTAGGAAAACCATAAAACTCACCCGAGAAAGATTGCAGATGACTCGCCATCGATGTATTTTGATTTAAAGTTTTCGGTTGCTGATGTTTAGGATTATCCAGGCAAGCCTCACTCGAATCAGCTGGATTCTCCATGTTTCTTTTTGAAGATGATGTATAGACAGCTTCTTGATACAAGTCTTGTCTGAAGTGTACAACTTGTTGTTCGAGCCGGACGATCTCCTCTTCGAGTACCGCCACTTCGGCCAAAAGCTCCAATGTCTACAAAAAAAAACCCAGCATTAGAATGAGCAACTTCCTCATCTTATTCCTTCAAGTATCTCAAGTTTTTGAAGGAAGGAACACTGGTGAATTACTAACCGGAGGAGGGAGATAGGGAGGAAGACGAGGTAAAGCTCCCAAAGGTCTATTAAAAGCTCTCTCCAAAGCTCTATGGATGTTCTCTTCTTGTCTAAGCATCTTCTTCAGTTTATCAACCTGACAAAACATTGAAGCTTTCAAATTTCATTACAATCAACAAAAAGAGATAAGAAAATGAAATCCGAAACTTGTAACTCTGTCTTGGTAAAGAAATCTATACATCTTTTTGAAGGGACATTTTTCTCTCATTGGTCGAGGCTCGTCGGTTTTTCATTGCCTTTGTGGCAACTGCCGGTTGCATTTCTGCCTTCTCCTTCAAAGAGAAAAAGACACAATCTGGAATCAGCCTGATTAAGCCTAGAAAGTTGACATTTTTTCCTGGAAAATCCACCTGTGGTTGCGATGAAAGATGCCTACTTTAAAAAATCTTTAACTCTTTGAAGTGGTTTGTTGAATTAATAATCAGTTACTAAATAGATCCCAGTTTAGCCATTGATTAAAATGCTTGATAACTATGATTAGTGATTACTTTTTCATGTTTCAATGGAACTTTCCTAGACAGCAGAGGCACCCTGGCTCTGTTATTCATCTTTTCGACACCACTACCTTATCTGCAACAACAAAAACCAAATTCAGTAGAATTCAACAGAAAGATCATTCAAAGTTTAAGCAACAAGAAGCTGGAAAATTCAGAACTTCACCCAAAATAAAACAGAGGACTGATCAGATTCAGACCCCAAGCAAGTAAAAGACAATTCTAAGAAGAACAAAGGAAGTAGTAGGATATATGTTATTGTTATGTATTTAAAGCAGCAAAGACAGAGATCTGGAGGTTTGCAGAAGGAAAAAGCATGGGCATCTTAGGAAGAAGATGGAGCCGTACATGAACTCCACGAACAAACACTACCTTGCTTGAGTCATCATGAATCAACGTGGCTCTCCCCTTTTTCCTTCCACTTTACCAACTACTAAATACTAAAGATTAATACATTCTCTTGGTTAATGTTTTCTTTTAGAGTAAACTACACCAATAGTCACTACTGTTTAAGTTTTTGTTTTTCCTACCGAAGTTTCAAAAGTAATAAATTGGTCACTAACATTATCGATTTGTAACAAAATGACGACTCCATCGATATCTCTGTTAAATTGATGATGTGACAACGTTAATAAAAAGAATTTTAGTTGTACCCTTAGACTACTGATAAAACATCAAATAGATCCTTGAACAATGATTTTAT